AGATTACTGCTAACCAGAACCCTAAATCTTTTTCGCAATCCGTAATATTAAGATCAAACATTATTTAGTTTATATGTGGCATGGTTATTGTCCTGTCCAACATTTAGAACTTTGCATTTGTCTATATTAAACTGCATCTGCCACTTCTCCGACCACTGCATCAGTCTATTTAAAATCTTCCTGGAGTGCTTCGAATGTCCTCGTCAAATGAATTCGACGGCCTATTTTGGTGCCCATCGGCAAACTTGCCGATGTCGCTCTTTATGCCCCATCTATGTCGTTTATGTAGATTGTGAACAGCGGGGGGCCCAAACCCCTGACCCCTGTGGAACACCGCTAGTGACCACTTCCCACTCTGTTTTCTCCCCATTTATGCAAACTCTCTGCTGCCTATTTGTCAACCATGCCTCTATCCAGGAAAAAAAATTTTTCCTCCTATTCCATGTGCTTAATTTTCCTCAATAGTCTCTGATGTGGGACCCTGTCAAAAGCCTTACGAAGTCCATATACACAATATCATATTCATTACCCTGATCTACCTCCTCAAATACCTTATGGAAAAAAGTTAATAAATTCCCTAAGGCAGGAACGCCCCTTTGTAAAAACCATGCTGAGATTCGTTGATTAATTTATGCTTTTCAAGGTGGGGGTACGAACTGCCTCGGCAATTATTGATTTCCATAAATTTTCCCACTATGGAGGTTAGGCTTATTGGTCTATAGTTCGAAGCTAAGGACCTGTCACCTGGTTTTTGAAAATAGGTACACATTTGAAATTTTCCACTTTTCTGGCACCATGCCAGTTTGTAGTGATATGTTGAAAAGATTAGCCAAAGGTGTGCTAAGCTCCTCTTTACATTCCTTTAGAACCCTTGCATACAGTTCATCAGGGCCTGGGGATTTGTTTAGGTTTTAATTTATCTATTTGCCTAAGGACCATGTCACTTGTGACCCTAATAGTGCACAGTTTATTATCGCCTGTTCTACATAATTTATCATTACTGGAATATCGCTGGTATCCTCCTGTGTAAAAACTGAGAGGAAGTATGTGTTAAAAATTCTACACATTTCCTTACACGCAGTGAGCTGACCCGGGGAATTTTTTGAGGGGGCCACTTGTCCCTGTTTTACTTCTGTATCCTGAAAGAATCCTTTTGGGTTTGTTTCGATTTCTTGAAACTTTCCCTCATTTTTCTTTTTGCTTTTCTAATTCCCTTTTTTATTTCTCTCTTTAACGAATATATCGATTTCTCAACTGCCCCTCCCTTTTTGATTTGCCTTATATCCTCTCTTTGCCATAATTTTTTAATCTATTGTTCACCCTTTAGGATCATTTTTGTTTTTCTGTTTTTCCCCTTTTTGGGAACATAATTTGACTGAGCACTAGAACATGCCTGGAAAGCATCAATCGAAACCATCACCACCAACCTCCCCTTTAGTCGGTCATTCCAGTTCGCCCACCAAAGTAATTTTTCAGCCCTTAAAATCACCCAAAGCAAAGTCAGGGCAGAGACTTTATTGCCATTATTTGGGGAAATTTCCTGATATTTAAAACTGAGTGATTTGTGATCACTTTTCCCCAACTCATCTTAACCCCAAGATTATTAATTGTGTTTCCCCACTGGCAAAACCAAGTAAGGAGGGTTTTTTCCCTAGGGCTCTGTCACAAACTGTTTTTTAAAAAAAAATCCTGGTTGTATCAAGAAAATCACCTGACTCTAAATTTCCTGTCAAATTGCTCCAGTCAACTTTTAAGTTGAAATCTCCCATTAGACAACATTTCGTATGTGTGCCTTTAAATTCGTCCCCCCTAGAAGTTTTACTGCACTCCCATCAAATTTGGGGCCCTGTAAATCCCCCAAAATAGTTTATCTCGGCCCTCGAGAAGCTGTAACCAAACAGTTCGTGGTGATGCTTCTAATTTAATATCTTGTCTAACACAACAATTTAAATTGCTCTGACTCTCGCTATCCACCCCCTTTCCTGTTGCCCCTGCAGTGTGGAATAATTTATAGCCTTGTTGTCTTCAGAGGGCAGCTCCTATTTTTCAGATTGACCAGGTCTCTGTTATAGCAATAATACTAGTTTCTGCATTTTGCATTAATCTTCTATCTATCTTATTTCTTACACTCCTGCTATTATATAGAAACCCCTTGGGGAGTGCCCCTGCTCCCTCTGCGCCCCCTTTGTTTGTGACCTATCTATTGTCTTTATTTATAACTTCATCTGAATCCCTTTTTTACTTTTACTGTTTCCAACCCAAGTGTTGCAACCTGCTTTTTCCCACACACACCCTACCTATCTTCCATCGTTAAAATCATAGCATTTCACCAATGGCCTTCTAAATCGGTCTGCAAGTGCTACCCCCCCAGCCCCAAGAATGTCCCCCACCCTTGCATACATATCTTTTTTCCCATAAAAGTTTTTCCTTTTGTAAATGAATGGGATTGCAATTCCTTGCAGTATCTTCTAGCCAGCAATTTACCCAAATTCCCTAGACAACCATTAAATTTCCTACTCCCCTTTCTAGGCAAGATGCACTATGATTGGGACCCCCTCCCTTAGATTAATGAAATCTATAGCGACCTGTACTTATTAGCCTCTTTCTCCTACCCTTCCCATATCTTTTCCTCCCCACAGAACAGAAAAGGGGCTTGTTCCCATTACCTGCATATATTACCAGCCTGTTGACAATGCCCCAACACCGCTCCAGGGAAGCACACTCTATCTCTCATTTTCTTTTTCCTTTAAAAAAAAAGCAGGGTCAATAATCTTACCTGAGAGTCACCAACCACAAGAATGCCTTCCCTCCATTAGCAGGGCAGTAGTACCCTTCCCTTTCAGGGCCACTGAAGACATTCACCTGAAGAACAGAGAAGCGATTTCCTCCCTTCAACTTCACTCTTAACTTTCCTACTCTTGCGCCTTCCAACGGGAACCACTCCCCACTTGTAGCAGTGCTGGACTGCCCTCACTGCTGGTACCGTTGCTACCTCCCCAACTACAGCCCCTAAAAGCAAGAGCAGACTGCACCTCACTTGAACCCTATTCCCCACAACTCCACCACCTCACACTCTCTCCCAGACCCACTGAGGTGGACCTTCAGCCTCCTAATCTTCCTGGAGAAGAAGCCCTTTCCCCCTTCAACTCCCCAAACCTCAATTTTTAAACACTGCAGAAAAAAGCCAGTTTTGTAACCGCCCCACGCAAACCCCCAAACAGCTCAGGGTCTTGCCCTCAGGGAAAACGCTGACCATGACGACTGACGACTGACCACGACATGGGTATAAAATACTTACTAACAGCAAAAAAAGTAAAGTAAATCATGAAATACAAAAATAAACAATAAAAAAAAAATCATTAAAAAAATGTGATTTGAATTCAGTACAGTGGACCCTCGACCAAGTTTTAAATCCTTTCCCAGAGTTTGCCCTTAGCCAAATTTATTGTTAGCTAATTAATTTTCCCCCCAAGAAATAAAGGAAATCCAATTAATCCGTTCCAAACAGCCAAAATAAATTAAAAAAAAAATTTTTTTTTTTACATGAAAAGTACATTCCCCTCAGAAAAACAATGAGACATGCACAATAAAAACATAAAAAATAATAAAAAACCTTAACTTTATTGAAGAGTACTGATGATGTGAACACTTTTTCTTCAACACTCTGGGGTTTTCGAGTGAACACAAGTAAGGCTTCACTTGCAAAACCCCACTAGCATTACAACAAAAATGACAGTTGCCTGTCTTTTTAGGGTTGTGTCCCGGGGAGTCCTTTTTCCCCCTGATAATGTAGTCCCGTTTTGGGATTTTTTCCAGAACAGGGGCCCGTTTCATCACAATTTAACACTTGGGGGTTTATATCAAAAAGGTAACAATACCGTAGGTGGTTGTTTTGACAATAGGCAACACTTAAGCAAAATTTTTCCGAAAGTTTCGCCTCCCAAAATAGGCTTCTTTAGTCGGTACAGAAAAATAGGCAGGACGTGAGAGTAAAGACTGCTCCTGCCTACTTCTGTATCGACGAAGAAGCTTACTTGGGGTTGGGAATTTTTTGCTTCGCCAGCCCTTTCCCCACTGTGTTAAAACCCCTACAATTTTTAAAAACTCTCAAACCAACCCTTTCTGGCCTTAAATTCACCAATTGAGCCTAGTTTCCGGCATTTTTTTTCCCGTTTACCTGGGTGTTAGTCCTGGTGGGGTTGCATCCTTGGGGACAAGATTAAGGCCCAATGAAAAAAATTAGTCCCCCGATGAGCACTACTTTTTTGGGTTATCCTGGGGGGCTAACCCTCTGGGTTAATGGTTTTTGTTAAGGGCCCCACCAACAAACACTCTTCCACATCTTCAAGTAGTACAGCCCGGGGGTGCAGCAAAAGCAGCACTAATGGTGGGCAGCAACAGTGATGGTGCAGCAACGCAGCAGCTGACAGTGGTACAGCAGCAGCTGACTGTGGTACGTTACTATTTCGATAGTATTCTCACCCTTTTTACCACAGAGTTGGCACTAGAAAGCTTTGTTTGGGCCCATGGAGAGTTATTTAGCAGTTACAACACTAAAAAAAAGGGAAAAAACAAAATATCGCATATATGCGTGAAACTGTCCGCCCTGGCTTGTAAACAATGGCACACTAGCTGAAGGCAGGGCAGCCGAGGTGCTCAGACTGGATGGACAGGCGGACGCGTTTGGGACGAATGTCGTTACCCGAGTTTTTCATCATCAATCGAGCCAATATTTTTATGCAAAAACTCATCGCTGCCCGATTCTATCATTAGTCGATGCCATCATTGGTTGAGGGTCCACTGTAGTAAGGTTCGACTTGCATCCATTTTGACTTATGACTGGTTGGTCGGAACCAAGCTTGGTCTTAAGTCGGATGGTACCTGTATACTCCTTGCTTAGC